GCTTTTGATAATATCCTGAATTGTCACCACTTACAGGCAATCTTCTCACATGTATTTGAGTGCCCAGTGTGGAGGTAGCAGGGGAAAATGAACTAAGAGATGGAGCCCTAAATCTAAGTAGCCCTAGTTTCAAATCCAACCCAGCCACCTCAGAGTGACTTGGGTAATTAACTTGCTGTGAATGAAAACATTCATAATAAGAGTTGTGGTTTGAATGTGAAATGTCCTCTCATAGGCTCATGTATTTGAACACTTGGTCCCAGGTGAGGATGCTGTTTGGGAAGCTTATGGAACCTTTAAAAGGTGGAGCCTCATTGGAGGAAGTGAATCATTGGGGAAAGGCTTTGACGTTTTGTCACTTAGCCCTACTTCCTGTTCACTTTCTCTTCCTGGCTGCTGATGCACTTTAAGGAGCTGGCCTTCTCTTTCTGCCGCCATGTCTTCCCCACCATGATGGACTGCCTCCCTTTGGAACTTGTAGCCCAAATCAACCCTTTCTCTCTTAAGTTGCTTTTGTCAGTGTACGTCATCACAGTGACAGAAATGAAGCTAAAACCATAGAATGGACAAAAAAATGATAGAACTTATCTCATTGGATCATCATGAGACTTAAGGGAGATTGTACACATACACTGCCTAAGAAAATAGCCTGAGTTCAGTAAGGTTAGCTCTGGTTATTGTTATTAAATGTGCTAGATCAGACATTGTGACCCAGAGTGAACATGAAAACTGGCATCACACAATGTGCTTGCCATTCGCCTCTCTACTGTATAATCCATTCTTTAGCCCTTTGTAGACAAAGGCATCTGGCTCATCCATGAAATATTTCCTAGGAATCCTTGCAGATGGATTGTTGGTTAGATTTGGCCTGCAGAAGAGTCAGAAAAGAGGTTGGGGTTGTCGGGAGGTTGTTTTTCTCTGTCTTGGTAGTTTTAAGGGAACTGGAGCTGGGTAATAGAGGGTTAAAATGGAATTCAGGGGCTGGGGAGATGGCTCAGTGGGTGAATGTGTTTGATATACAAGCTCAAGGACCTGAATTTGAATCTTCAGCATCTATGTAAAAAGTTTGGTGGGTCATGCATGAGCCTCTAACTCCAGCACTATGGGGAGTGGGTGGACACAGGAAGATTTCTAGCACTTGCTGGTAGCCAGCCTAGCTCTGGTTTCAATGAGGCCTTGTCTCAAGTGAAGAAGGTGCAGGGTGATAAAGAAAGACACTTAATGTCCTAATCTGTCCTCTGTATGTATGTGTTCAGGTGTAGCTAAAATTCCTTCTGGGAGGCATAAACGATGTCCCCTCTTCCTTCCTGTGGTCCCTATGGCAAACCAAGGTTCAATTTGACCAAGCTACAGTCTGGGAAACCAGTGAGTTTTTTGGGCTTACTTACAGAGCAATGCCTGAGGGTTTACTTACAGGGGTGTGGGTGCTCTCCTCCTAAGGCTGCACTGAAAAGTTTTCACTCAAGTGTGGATAGTGACTTTCTCACAGTCACACAAGAGAGCCTCCCCTCTGCTTCCTCCATTTATATACCCTTAGTCTCTCCCTCTAGTGCAACTAGGACTGCCTGGTTGGTTGGGAGATGTGGCTGACTCTCCCTGCCCATCCTTGCCAAGCATAACAGTCAACAAGCTTAGCTATGATGATCCTAGGCAAAGGGGTGCAGCCAAGCTTGGGAAAAAGGTATCTGTCTATGTTCTACCGGAGGACAGTCCTATGCAACAACAGGTGTGCGAAAACACACATATGCAAATATACCACATACATACCACACTTACACATGTAATAAATAAAGAAACAAATAAGCAAATATAAAATATATACAGAATGCATTCAGGAGCCATTTCCATAAATAAAAAAAAAAAAGAACTTCAGCAGAGAAATGGTCTTGATTCTGAGAATAGCATGAACCAGTCAGGGTTTTGTGGCCACAGGTCAGAGGGAGGAGCCTGGGAAGAAAGCATTAGCAATTAAAGGTGATCCAAGTTAAATAAACTCAACAGGATTCTTGCCAAAGGCAAGAACCAAGAGGGAAGGGTGAAGAATTTATTTGATGCCAAGGGTGATATGAAATCAGTCCTGGGAGTTTCTCTCTCAGCTGACTCAGCAAGATTTGGGTTAGACTAGGCAATGCCACCTCATCAAGATGGGGGCTGATGTGAGGTCTGAGAGCTTGGAAGAGCTTCTTCAAGTGTAACTGAGGTGAGAGACTTTGTCAGTCACATCACTAGCAAATACTGTCTGTCCTGCACTGTCTCTCACTCTACAAATATCTTCTCCTCAGGATCACAGGTTTCCTTTGGTAGCCCCAGTTCTGAGGCTGGCTGCTGGACTTTTGCTTAGGAATGAACCCAACAGAAGACCACAGAAGGAGAGGAAGTGACTGGGCCCTGAGGATGGGTACCATTCAATCCTGTTCCAACTGGGCCTGGAGATCATAGATGACACAAGGCAAACTTATGCAGATTCCTTTTTGTGTGATCATTCTTAACTTGCTGCTGTGCAGGTCATAACACATTGTCTGATAACCCCCGAGGACGATTTAAGTTAATATCCCAGTGTAGAACAATTGACATTCTCTCTGGATAATTAGGGCTTGAATTCATATTACTGGTATTTATCATCCTGCTAGGACTAAGAGTGTAAAAATGAACATTTAAACATGGTCTTTCTCTCTGTTAGCACAGTAGGAAGTAATTAATTTTTTCCAAAATGTTAATTTTTACTATACGTATTCCAAAATGTCATTTTTCCTGGAGATCTGAGCCTTCTCTTGGTTGGTATGTGCCCTTAAACTAAAGGACATCTCATCTATTTTAATGCATGCAGAGCAGGAACTTTAAGGGGAAGTTTTCATTTATTTTTGATAAAGTAAACCCCAAGCCTCCAGTGATTCTTTATAAAATCTTCCCAAGATGGGAGGATTTCTCTACATGAAAGAGATTGACGAGATTAACAGAATCACTGCTGCAAACCATCGTAGGGAGACAAAACACAGTGGCAGGTAACTCCATGGTGGGGAGAGTACAGCTGGGATGCCTTACCTCTTTATATCATGGCAGAACAGGAAGCAGAGGACACAGGAGAAGTGGGATTGGGCTGTAAAGCCTCACATCCTGTCCCCAGTAACCCACCTCCCCCAGTGAAGGTCTACTTCCTAAAGTAGACCTACGTGGCTGGAGGTCATGTAGTCAAACACACAGTCCAATGAGAAAAGTTCACAATCAAACCGCAGCATCTTGTGTCTATCTTGGAGTTTCTTCAACACACCTAATGGTCTTGTACTGTCATATTTAGAGGGCACAGCCAATGAGAAATTCAAGCATTTGTTTTATTTGCCATTCATACCACCTGTAAAGGGGGTGGAGTAGCAGTGTGGCTTTGGGGAGGGGCATCACTGTCCCAGTCCTTTAGTGAGGCTGCTCTTTGCCTAACACAGGGTGGGTAAGCTCCATGGATGTAGGGGTGACTAGGAATTGATTCCTGCTTGAGCACACAGAGAGAAAACACACCCCAGAACTTGTGGCATATGGACAGAATAGTAGCAAAGACAACAAACACGGCCACATCTGTGTCAAACAGAATGGACCCATGAGGGTGTGTGGGGGGAAGAAGTTTGAGATGGGATCATGTGTCGAGTTGCTGATTTAAAATTCGTATATATTCTGCACATATTGTAAGACAGAGAGAAGCTGAAGTAGAAAATGTAAGCCAAAGTTAGGTGGGACATGATCTAGTGGAGAAGAGACACTGGGTGATTGGTTAAACTAGGGAGCCCAAGAGCCTGGTGAATTCTTTCTGAGAGAGAAGTTGCTCTGGAAGTTGTAAGGGCTGTGAAGGACTGGCTGGTGGAGAAGACCCCTGCTGATCCTGGAGACAACATGGCTTCCATTCACATAACTTGGTTCCAAATGAAGATGGTAAAACAGTGCCAAGCATGGTCACTTGTCACTGACCTCCCAGTGAGAAGAAACCTGGTCTAGATATAGGGATGGAATTGAGATACAAATAGAATAAATACAGAGCAACCATAAAGAACAGTGGTTGGTGCTTTGGGATTAGGAACACAGGCTCAGTCTTACTTAGTTCTTTTACAGCGTTAACTCTCCCTCAGGCTTTTGATCCCCAAGTTATTTTCAATTCTGACTTTTCAGTGTGGAAGTACTTTGAAAAGAAGAGGTTTTTTTAAAATTTTATTTATTATTTTTGTTTTATGTGTATGCATGTATTGCCTGCATGTAGGTAAGTGCACCCATGTCGTGCAAGGCCCGCGGAAGTCAGAAGAGGCTGTCAGATCCCCTGGGACTGGAGTTAGAGACAGTTGTTAGCTGCCATATGGGTGCTGGGATTTGAACTCGGGTCTTCTGCAAGAACAACCAGTGTTCTTAAGCGCTGAGCCATCTCTCCAGCCCCCCAAAAGGAGAGGTTTTTAAAGCTGAGTTTTAACCTATAAAACTGTATAAAGTATTACAATGTGCGAAGATTGTTTTTCTCGGGGCTAGAGAGATAGCTCAGTGGTTAAGAACACTGACGGATCTTGAAGAAGACCTATGTCCGAATCCCAGCACCCACATGGCAGCTAACAACTATCCATAACTCCAGGTCCAGGGTATCCGACAGCCTCTTCTCTCCTCTGGGGGCATTGTACAACACATGTGCGCTTACCTACATGCAGGCAATACATGTGGAATTTGAGTGAGTTAGAGATTTATTCCTTTTGAAAACTGAACTGCCTCAATGTCCAAGAGGTGGAAACCCTGTGCACTCAGCTTCTCACAGCCCTTAGTGACACTCAGAGAATGGATTCTGCACTGCCCGGAGGTAAAACCTGGGTCTCTATGTTAAAGCACACAGGCTGTACCTAACCCTCACAGTCCACAGACCACGCCCCTTGCACCAGTGGTAGAATGCCATACAATTTTTTTTTCCCGTTGGTATTTGAGACTGAGCTTATTCTAAGAGTGAATGGGCTCAGAATCTTTCCTTTCCTTTCTTTTTAAAGGACCTACTTAAGAAATGCTATTCTGCCAAAGCATCTTACCTGTTCCAGCAGGATAAATTCTATGACGTCAGCTATGACACCGGAGACAAATCCATCCAGTGTAGCAGGAGACCTGATGCATTCAAGTTCTGGCTGACTTGGAAGGCCCTGGGCACGCTAGGCCTCGAAGAGAGAGTTAATCGTGCCCTTGCTCTGTCTAGGTATGTATGAGTGTATAATAGAAAGACCAAATGTAGTATCTATACATGTTCTTTAATTGTGAATTCTTTCTTCCACACAAACGTTTGCTTAGTACCTGATAGGTGTTAGAAACTGTGGGCAGAGAGGCCCTCCCACCTTCCCTTTAAGCCCACCGAAGAGCACACGAGTAAGAGAGCAGGCAAGGACAAGTGATGTTGTTGCTTCAAGGAATGCATGGTGCACCAAGCAGGCTCCCTAGTGTGTACGGAAGGGACACCACAGAGGCTTCTGGAGGCTGAAACTCAGCTGAGATCTAGTAAAGAAGAGTCAGGGATGATCCTGCCAGGTGTAGCACTAGTCCCGAATCGGTGGGTGTGAGGAGACTCCAGCCCAGCGTTCTCCCAGGGCCCACAAAGCAGACCTGTAAGAATGTGGCCACAATACCGAGGGAAAGGGGGTATGGATGCATCCTGCATGCTTGCTGCAAAACAACATTGGCAGCAAAGCTTTGGTTGTCTCGGGGCTGGAGAGATGGCTCAGCAGTTAAGCGCACTGGCTGCTCTTGTAGAGGACCGAGGTTCCATTCCCAGCATCCGCGTGGTGACTAACAACTGACTGTGTATAACTCCATTTCTAGGGGCTCTGATGCTCTTTTCTGGCCTCCAAGGACATTGCGTGACATGGGTGCACTTATACATGCAGGCAGAACACTCATACACATAAAATAAACATTCATCTGCTAAAAGTGCGAGGCCTCTCTGTACTCCAGTTTTATTCCAGTAATGGCAACAATGGAAATTATTTCAAATAATTTTAAAAAATATTTTATTTATTATTTCAATTTTATGTGTATGTGTGTATTGCCTGCATGTAGGTAGGTGCACTCATGTCGTGCAATGCCCACAGAGGACAGAAGAGGCCGTTGGATCCCCTGGAACTGGAATTATGGACAGTTGTTAGCCGCCATGTGGGTGCTGGGATTCAAACCTGGGTCTTCTGTAAGAACAGTCAGTGCTCTTAATTGCTGAGCCATCTCTCCAACTCCCAAATATTTTTTTCTTTTGATTTTTTCTGTGTATATTTCACCTGCACGTATGTATGTACACGATGTATGTGCAGTGCCTGTGGAAGCCAGAAGAGCGCATTGGATCCCCTGGAACTGGAGTTACAGACAGTTGTTAGGGAATGTGTGGGTGCTGGGAACTGAACCTGGATCCTCTGCAAGATCATCCAGTGCTCTTAACCTCGGAGCAATCTCCAGCCACTCAAATAGTGAAGATCGAAAGACTTGATACATGTAAAAACACTTGAGCAATGCCTGCATGTGCTACATGCCATTTGTACCAATCGTGTCCTTCCTTGTTTGGTCAACTCTGGACATCAGAGTGTGTGATATCTGGTTAGGTTCCTTTTTCCCTTCGCTCCTTGTTCATATGCCTCTCCCCCAAACCAGAAGCATCTCCTTAGAAATTTGTAAGAATTTCCTCTCTTGGAAGCTGATTAGGTATTCTGTGCCTAAAACCCAGTGTCTTAAGACAGCCGTCATTTACCCAGGGTTTTAGAGGCTGGCTAGAGTAACATTCTGTGTAGTGTGGCAGCTGGGATGTTGGAGTCTTTGTTCCAAATCTCTTCATCTTCCCTGGACCAGAGGCTCTCTGGGGCATATTCTTGTGATGTAAGCTCACTTTAAACTTCTACTTGCACCATGTCTTCTAGAATCTCTTAGCCTTAGCGATTCAAGTGACTAAGTGTAACTTCAACTTGAAAAGGCAAGAAGTGTCCTCTGCTGGTGGGCAGGAGGACCTGCAAAGTTCTGTCTAGGGCTCTAACGATGGGACAGGTAAAGAGGCAGCTCTGGTACATTCAGAAGACTGTTAGGAATCAGTCATTTGATGATTACAGTCTAAGAAGTCATTTAGTACTTATGAATATTATATAAGAGCTCTTTGTGTGTTAAATACACAGCTCTCACTTCAAAGAGAATTTGAAATAATCTATTCTGAGCCAAAATGCGAGTGACCATGGCTCTAGAACAGATTCTCTTTACCCTAAAAGACACATTCCATTGTGGAAGTGGTTACATGAGCTCTTATTAGTTACAGAGCAAACAAAGTCACAAATCAAGGCAGTTATCAAATACATTGGTGGGAATCACAGGTAGGCAGGTTATAGCAAAATATGGGAAACCCCCTTATAGTTTTTAGATGCCATGTGATGAGATTTTTAGCTTTTGGATTGGTGGAAACTGGTGATTGGCTAAAAATATTTTAAAGGTTTTACCTAATAGTCAAAATGATGTTAGGTCAGACACAGAGATTAAAGGTGTCCCGAGAAGGCTAGGAATATCACTCATTGGGTAAAGCACTTGCTGTGTAAGCATCAGGACCTGAATCTGGGTCCCAAAAACTCATATGAAATTGGTTGTGTTAGTATACATCTTAAATCCCAGTGCTCTTCAGGTGAGATGGGAGGCAGAGACAGGAGAGTCCCCTGAAGCTTGTGGGCTAGCCTGGAGCATGTGGTAATGAACAATAAAGAAATCTTACCTCAAACAATGTAGAAGTGACAGCCACACCCGAAGCCATCCTCTGACCTAGACACACACAAATGGGCACACTCACACATGCCTGCACACACACACACATACACACACACACACACACATTTAAATTTTTATTTATATTTTATTTGTGAAAGTGTTTTCCCTGCATATATGCAAGCACACCATGTGTGTGCAGTGCCTATAAAGATCAGAAGAGGGTGTCAGATTCCCCTGGAACTAGAGTCACAGATGTTTATCAGCCACCACGTGCATCCTGGGAACTGAACCTAAGTCCTCTGAAAGAGCAGCCAGTGCTCTTAACACTGAGCCATTTCTGCAGCCTCCACACAAAATTTTTTTAGTAATCAAAAACAATTTGGTTCTAGATCTGCAACATTTGAATTCTCTAACACCACTAATTTCTGAGGGGGGTTGTTCAGCTTTGTTGAAGATTTAACAGGGGTGTGACTTTCTTACTTGGGAGCTTCAGTTGACAGATGTAATGAACAGAAACTCACTCCATGACAAAGAAAAGTAGAGTTACCTCATATCACTTATAAGATCACCTGAATGGTGGCTTCTGGAAAGGCTTGATCAAGAGGCTCACAGAGCTGGGCATACTGGCACGCACTTTCAATCTCAGCACACAGGAGGCAGAGGCAAGCAGATCTCTGTGAGACTGAATCCAGCCTGGTCTTCATAACAAGTTTCAGGTCAGCCAGGATTATAAGGAGTCCTGTCTCAAAAAGCAAAACAAATCAAAACCAACAACAAAAAAGAGGTCTATAGAACATCTCCAAGCCTGTTTCCATCTTTTAATCATGTTTTTCTGCATGTTGGGTTTATTCCCACATAGGATCATGGGTGTCCTAAGATCTATATTTCATTAGGTTCAAGGACAAGTTCAAAAGGGGAGCCTGTGTTTCTCATTCGGCAATCCCAAGGAAAGTTTAACTATTCTTGAGTGAAGGAAATGTCTATCAGTTGCTGTTTCCAAGGCAACGTGCAGCAGGCAGTGGTCATACTGAGTCACATGTCCTAGTTTGGCTCTGATAGAGTGTCATCTGCCTCATCTTATAGATACTGAAGCTTGGGGAGGAACATGTCTTTACTAGAAATGGGGTTCATGTGCCCCTGCTAGAGGGAGGGAGACAGCAATGGAAGCAGTCACAAATATGCCTACCTGCCCATTAAATTGGAATAAAAGCCAGGGAGCTCTGTCTTCTGCTTCCTGTTTCCACATACTAGTTAAATGTGGCAGAATTGCAACATTATTTTGCAAGAAGCTGCTAAGTAATTCGATGACAGGTGTCTTGAATTAAGGCTAGATATAAATATTTGATGATTGTATTTATTATGAAGTTAATATTCATCTCAAGGTGGAATTGAGTTTAGAGTCTAAAGATACTTTCTAATTTTTGCAGACACATATCACAGGAGGATAAATGTTAACATTTCAATTCAATTCAACAAACACTTATTGTTTGTAAACGTTTGTCAGGTTGAATGAATGGAATTAACATTTCAGTGAGTAGCACTGCAGGCTCTGTGACCTATATTTAAATATTTGAGAAAAGAATCCTTGCTGTTATTCATAATAATTGTTTTTTGCTTTACCACTCAGCTTTCTACACTTTTGATAGCCAACAGTATATTCCTGGGGTTGGCAAAAATCGCATTATTCTCCTGAGCCCAATGCCAAGAAAGGGGTAGACTCCTTTTATGATTGTCACTCTAAAGGGCTAAGAAATGCCAAACATGAAGTGAATTTCTCCAGGATTATAAACCATAGAATCCCGATCTTGTTTTTCTAAACCTACTGGTCAGTTTATAGCCATGCATTTTAGGAAAGGTCAAATATTATCTCAATTCTGGGATCGGTTCTGTTGACTTGAAACTGTATACACTAGAGAAAGCCGAGCTTCCTGAAGGTGTTTGAGATTGATATGTATTTAGTAAACTCTGAAGCAAATTCCCATGGGCCAGTGGACTGGAGGACAAATTGTATCTGATCTCCAGTCCTTCTGTGTTGAAACAGATGATACTAGCTCCTGTCATCAGTGAGTTCTAGGGTCAATTTGTAGAGGCTGGTGAGAAGCCACTGCTAAACAGTCAGGAATTCTGCAGATGCACCTCTTTGTAACATTCAGTTCTCTATGGTGGTCATATTTACACAACAGTAACTGGAAGACACTATTAACTCTCTTTCTCTTGAGAGCAGCCAGGACCAGAGTTCAGCTTCCGGCAGCCCCATGGCAAGAACCGCCTCACAACCATCTATCACTCCACCTCCAGGGGATCTAGTGCCCTCTTCTGGCCTCCACAGGCACACACACACACACACACACACACGCACACACACACACACACGCACACACACACACACACGCACACACACACACACACGCACACACACACACACAAATTAAAAAAAAAAATCTAGGTTCAGTGTTGTCCCTATAATCCGAGGCTGAGGAT